CATAATCAGGGAGGCCAGGAAGGTAGGAAACCATGCGGACATACGGATGGTTACTACCTTTGGATTGTTGGTTTCCTACCTTCCTGGTCTCCCTGATTATGTTGGGTGGCCCTTCGGCAAAGCAGACATGTGTAAAATAACAGATCCCATGAATTATTTATTTATTCATCTAACTATTAATCTATATGTAATCCTTTATGTATATATATATTGGTGTATTTATCATTAGATACATATGATTATTATAGGTACCTCTTTTTTTCCTGTTGAAGCCATGTGCAAAATGCGTAGAAAACTGGACACATCATAGAACTACTTTTGGACCATTATGACCACTATGAAAATAGACGAAGATATATTAAGGAGACAAATGTTAATAGGCTACTGTATAAACAGTATGTATCTATTTGTGCTCCAGGGAGGTTTTGTGCCATTAGCTGCAATCAATGGATATATGTTAGTTTGATCATACTTTTGATTTGTTAATCATGCTGTTTTATTTACCAATTAAATTATATTTGTTTATATAAATATATGACTTTTGTGTTACGTTAAACTGGGTCTCTTCACACCTGGTAAATGACACCTTAAAAGCTCCATCTCTCTTTTTTAGATGTTGCAATGTATATACAGTATAGGGGTGCGGTGTCCTTGTTTATGTGTTGATTCACAATTTTGTGTACAATCAGTTTACTTATTAACGAGCATGCTCACTTTGCAAACTACTTTTTCCCTTAGCTTAGTGAATAGGTTATAGCTGTGTTCACTTCAATCATCTATTTAAATGTAAGCAGAACTGCTTATTTATTTATTTTTATTCCACTGGTACATTACTGGGTATTCACAATGATCACAGCTTCACCGTATTAACTAAGCATTCATTTTGCTTTGTGAACAGCCACATACACATTTGACAAGTGGCATCAAGCCATAATAAATATGAATAAACAGTAGTTAGAAACTTCTATATTTATATCTAAAATGTCCTCTTAACTCTGCAATTAATGAGAGAAAACAGTAAAAGGAGCAAACACAAACCTTCTTTGTGTGAAAACATGTACTATTTTTGGGCTCCACATGACTCCAAAGTGTAGAGATAAAGAAATGTTCAAATCCACTGTGTCTGTGTGAGTTACCCACAGTTTCATTGCTTGACACACCAGGGCCCTTGTGCAAGATATCAGCCATGGCCAACGAACTTCAATCCTGAACTAACTGCTTCAGACTCTAAACATTCCCAAACCCGGTAGCTGATATATCTTATTAGGTCCTGTACATAGCACCCATGTACCATAGCTCCCGTATAATGCCTCCTCCTCACCTTACACCCCTGTCACCTCTCTTCCCCCTCTACCTTGCACAGTAGGTCCTGCCTCTCATCCAGGAGAAGCAACTTTGCTGCACAGTTGTTTAGAAGATGGTAATATATAGGGGCTTAGATATGGCTAGGAAGGCTCTATGGGTCCCCCAGGACAGGGGCCTAGCTGCATCTTGTTGCTACACCACTGTTTCCTTTCTTCCTGAGTATGTCACTGCAAGCACCACAATATATGAAATGTGGCATCCACTGGTTTCCTACAAACATGAATTTTCCCTTCATCCACTAGTTCTTGCAGCACACTCAGCAAATATACAGTATATTCTGCAGAACCAATAATAAAATATCATGTAGTAGACATGGTGCAGTTGCCAGAACTTTCCCCTTCCCTTATCTCTACAAAGAAAAGCTGTGACTCATATTATAATTAATTATTCTAGTTATCAGTTTGGCCAGGAGAATTATTCCGTACATTGATGTCTCCAGCTTATCTCAGTAGGTACAAAAACATTTTTACTTCAAAAGATTTGCACATATTTATTTTATGATTCTGCAAATGTTTATAACATTATTTGGCTGTATCTGGAGTTCTTCCATGATTTGAACATATACGTGTAACAAATCATTTCAGATAACCAGGATACTTTCCATCTAAAGGAAAACATGTTGGTTAGCAACACATGCTGCATGCCATGATGGTGTCTTGTGTAATTCCCTATGTCTGGTGTGACTTTCTGAGGAACTAGAGTGGGTATGGGGCAATTTGTAAAATGGAGGACAATCCTGCAAAAGCAGGACGATTCCTAACTACTGGTTCACTACCACTGCCTAATGTTTTTGTGTAACATTTTAAGTGCCAGATAATTCAAGGCATTTCAGTAAAACAGTAACTCAGTGCAACAAGGTGCTCAGCCTCAAAGCTGCATGTAAAATATTATCATGACAATATGACACACAAACCTATTCAAACATGCAAGCCATGCCAAACATTATTGTCCATATCTGTTACATTAACAAATGAAAAGCTTAAAAAACCCATTGGGCGGAAATTTATCAAAACTGGAGTAGAAGATTTCTGGAGCAGTTGCCTATGGCAACCAATCAGCTTCTATCTTTAGTTTGTTTAGTTAAGGTTTGAAAATTAAAGGTGGATGCTGATTGGTTGCCATGTACAGCTGCTCCAGATATTGACTGCTCCAGTTTTGATAAATTTCCTTGATTATATTTTCATGATTTAATATCATTTAGATTTCCCCCATACCATAGGATTATCTAAAGTGTTTTCTTTAAATCCTCAGTGAAAACCAACCAGCAATGGTTAATATTTCAAAAGACGTTGGAATGTTTTGAGGGCACATAAATGTTGGTCATTACTTACAGTTTAAGCCACCACCTATTACTTCTATAGCTATAAAATGATCTTGTGGCTTCAGACAGCACACATTTAGCCTCAAGTTTCTGTTATTCAATGTGCAACTGTCATTCCTCTTGAAAGGACCAGCATTCTATTTCATCACAATTTTTTTTTCTTTTACTTTAAGGCACAAGGCCTTTCACCTGCAGGGCTTACGATACAGAAAGCTGTGATTGAAAGTAGGCTTATTACTTCCAGAAGAAAGACTAGCATTAACAAAATGAATGCACAGAAACTACACTGTGCCTGGAGAATGATGACAAGCTCAGTAGGAATATTTACCTCGGGATCTTCAAAGACCTCGGGATCTCTGTGCAGAGCTGGAGGATAGAGGGCCACAAAATCACCTTTCCTGAGACTCACTGTCTGGTCAACCTCCAGCTCCATCTGAAAATCCTCCTGGACCACCCGAATGTTCATAGATGCAGAGCACAAGCGCAGTGACTCGTTGATAGCACTACCTGAGGAAAAGAAAAAGCAGAACTGTGATGCAATTATAATTTGCTTAGAGAATATATTGCTATTGCCTAGACAACTCCACTGGACTTATTAACACAAATGCGTGTTCAGCACTGAAACTACAGTATTAGTATACAGAAAACATTTAAATCCCATAAAAAGTCTCTAAGTACCTTTAATGCTTTATAATACATATACAATATGTGCTGTCAGAAACTCCTGAGATGCTAAACAAAATAATATTTATCTAGCTTGGAGAGGAAAGCCAAAGTAATTTAATGGAGAACCCTTTAACTTAAATCCTTCATTTTGGTAGCTTTTAAATAAAAATGCATGACTTTTTTGAAGATAGTTAAATGCATCATTCGTACAATAGGCAAGCCACTGAGGGTTATACTGTATATACCAAAAGCATATTTATTGCCCAATGTTGTCAGCACCACACACCTACATTGCCATGATTCTTTGCCAGAATATGAAGAGTGTTCTCAGCAAAACCATTATGGGGACACATTACATGTTTTATCCATGGATTTTGGCCTCTGAGTTTACAATTTATGGAATTTATTGGATTAATGGATTACAGCACATGTGACTTTAATTTATATATTGGGTCATTATCTGTATTACAGTACTATATAACTTTAAAGGCTATTTTAAAGCAAAGTTGTCATATAAATTAAAGGAGAACTATGAGATGAGTGATTTCCACTCACCTCATAGTTCTAGCCGACCTGTGACAATGAGACTGTCACAGGTCGGCTCAGTAGATCGGGAGGTGAGCGAACACATACCAGGTTCGCTCACCTCTCGATCCTGTCACGGCTCACTGCCGTGACAGGGGGAGGGTCTGGATTCCCCTCTCCCCGCTCCGATCTGCCAGCGCTGACTGGCGGAACGGACGGGGGAGGGGGCGGGTACAGCTGGCTCTGCCTCTAGATAGGCAGAGCCAGCTGTCACTCACGCAGCTGGGCGGATCCCGGCATCTACGTCGGGATCCGCTCCGGCTGCGGCGTCTCAGTATACCGCGATACTGAGCTTAGGGTAATGGGAGGACGCTAGTTTGTGTCCTCCCGTTACCCTAAGGAGAACTATGTGGAAAAACACTGACCCCATAGTTCTCCTTTAAAAATGCAAAACAAATCACCCCCTTACCCTGTGCAGCCACTATCTAGTAGCTTAAGTTACCCTTAACACAGCTCCCCTACTACTCAAGGCCATAATTCTTTGCTCAGGGATTAATTCACATGAGGAGAAGTGGGCTTATCACAGGTGCCAAATCCTAGCACGCAGAAGGTAAACCGGTTACCTATGTGCTCAAGTTTTATGGCAAGTTTGTTTTCATTTTAGCTTAAGGGTAAATATATGGTTAAACCTGTATTTTACTAAGCACATATTTTAAATTATTGATGCGACTTTCAAAGTTTCAAATGCTTGCTCTTGAATGGTTTTGTGATGATATTAAATATAGAGATTTGCAAATGATCTACTAGAGGGAATTATGTATTTGACTGCAATCACTCTGCTTAACAGCAGCTGAGATATAAACCCCACAGGAAGTCCACTGTTTTCATTTAGTTGGAAAACCCATAGGCTTGTATTGTGGAAAGGAGTAGTATAGCACAACCATTGTGTAGCACTCCAGAACCTGTAATAAAAAAATAGGGCTTGTCCCCATATATGTATATCAATATAATACATCAAGCTGATCTCTTTTACATGTACATCTAAAATAACACCAAGAAGACTTTACATACCATTAGGCTTTAGTGTAGCAGAGTGATTCATTTTGTTTCTGGTTTGATACTTTAATTTTTTAGGTTTGCTCCATTACTTTTTTAGTATTTATCTAGTTTCCAAGTGACTGCAGCCAAAGCCACCACCCCAAGGTCACTGCAGAGGAAATTAACATACCACCCTGGGGTGGTAAGTTCAAGAAGAATAGTATAGTACTACAGTCAAGGAGAAAATATTAAAGGGTAGCAGAATATGCTTTTAGTTAAGGAATGTTGCCTGAATTCAGTTAGTAAGCTGCATTGCTAGTTATTACATTACAAATCTCAGTTGCCTGTAAAGCGGATGTTAGAAAGCTGTGGGGCCCCGTAATTATTTTGACATGGGACCACAATATTTGTAGTTATGCCCCTGTTTCCAGGAATTATTTGCGCAAGGGAAAAATGTATTTACACACATAAACAGCATGTTGTAGAATGATCTAGAAGCCGAATGTCCTTGCGTTCCCAGTGGCCTTCACCTTTTGCTCCTAGCACGACAGATTTTATGGGTAATTTCCGGCAATTTATCCTGGCAGTTTGAGGAGAAATCCCAATGGGAACAGTATGAATAATTTGCATAAATCATTGTGATTGCAGGCATATCAGCATGTAGCTGCTGTCTAAATCCGCATCTCTCTTTTTGTAATCAAATCTGACTCTTCCTCCACTAGCTTATATTGGGGCCATAATGGGCCTTGATCTCTTCTAATGATGAGCTTTTAGAACAGTATCAAGCAAATAAAGCCATTTTCACAAAAAACAGCTAGTGAGCGGGAGGTGATTTAAGATAATACAATAAAGCAACATGTTCACTAAGCATTCAGCACTCTTTTAACCAAAAGGTTAGACAGTAGATTCCCATCATACAGGAGGCATCTGAAAAAGATAATAACAAACGCTCTTTCAGTAAAAATTAAATCTGTTGCAGCATGCATAGTAAATAAAGTGGCCTTGGATGCTTTCTTGCAGGAGGTTTTTCCTTAAGCGTGCATTTGTCTAAAGAAATGAGGCTGCGGTCAGCTTTGTGTGGCCAGCGCTGTGATTCAATGTGACGTACAGTGAGTCTGTGCATATTCTTTTGGACTGCCTTCGTTACTATAATCAGGCAGAGTCAAATCGGCTTGTTGGTGACGAAGCCAGGGAACGACTCTGGTTCCAGAATATGGCCTCTACTGCGGATAGCCACAAGGCACCTGACACGATAAATTTCAACTGGCAGCACTCTGGCAACAAAAAACTTTACACGGTACAAATGAGTGGTCCAGCCTCCACTTTTCTGCTGTCTGCCATCCTAAAAATATGAAGATGATAATGCAATCAGAGCCTATGTTTAGAAATGGTAGCTGACATATGCAGCAACACTATTTACCCGAGGAACCTGGCGGGGGCTTTGAAGAAAAGGAATAAGAGAACAAAATATATGTATATTTTTATGTAGGAACCAGCTACTGCTGCAAAATAGCTGCTTCGTATTTTATATCTCGGGTAATGTGGTCTCATTGTACTGGTTGACATTCTTCCAGGGAGTGTGGCAGTCTGTGCCCAGCGCAGTATCACAGATGACAATTGGGTAAGCATATCTTATGCAGAAGTTAATCACAATAATAGAGCACAAAGTGCGGCTTAGCAGTCAGATCATAAATGACAAATCTGTTTCACCTTCCAGTACCAGTTATGTGCGGAAGACGAGCTTGGCTGTAGCTTTGAGCAATCATGCCGATAATTATTAGCTGACAACAGTAATGAGTCACATTACGATCACCAAAGGACACAGGGACTTATTTAGGTCTGTCAACCAATGCAAAAGAAAAAAAAATACAGAAGAGGGAAAAAAAAAAGCGGAAAGGGAATTGTACATACTCTGCAAAATTGTAAGACAATGTGCATTTAAAAGGATCATAATAAACCTGCAGCCTCTGCTTGCACTTGTCATAGTTCAGCAGACACAGGCAAGTGCTACTAACAGACCAGCTGGGTAGCTTGGGAAGCCTTCCATTCTGCACCATGAGGTACAGTAAATTATCCTGTTGCAGTACAGCAACATCTGTTTCTGCGCTAGTGCCGAACAAACAAGGCAATTTTAAAAATACCTAGGGATAGGAAGGTAGCAAACGAACATAACCCTCAGCCCTGACACCCCATCCTGCACATTTCATTGTTCAAACAAAAACAGTGGACAGCATGTGTGATATTTTGCATGAGTTTTTCAGTAGTAGTAGAAGCAGAGTGTTGAATTGAGTTAGCTGTGTATAGAAGTAGGATAACACGGAGCTGAATAGCATTTTAAAATCCTTTTCAAGGGTTTTCTGCTGAAAAGGTTAGCTTGGGGTATTGTCCTGGAGGACTGGAACATACTATAGCCCTATGACATTTGATATAGTAAATTGGAATATCAAATTCTTTTGCATTTTAAATACACCACTTTAAAATATTAACTGAAAAAATAATGGGACTTATTTACTAAAAGCTTATACTGCTAGCAAAGGTAACTTCCTTATTGACCAAATCATATTGCTTGACTGAGCATCATGCGTATTAGCAGTGCTTGTTAGTCAGAATGTGTGATAAAGATTATGTCTGGGTAGGCGGGTGCTTATATTAACTGCTAATAAACTTAAAGTGTCACCAAATCCAAATAAAAAATATATAAAGTTTTTCTTACCATCTCCAATGCATATAAATCTGTCTGCTTATCCATGGTTGCTTCTGTATCAATAAATTATCATTTTAAAAATCAGGGTGTTGGACTTCCTTTTTGAAGATTAATACACTAGCCCTACATGGTCTTAGTGTGAATCTGTGTGAGGCCAGGTGCACACCTGGGCGATCCCAGGGACATGCATCCTGGGACCATGAGTTTGTGTACGGTTGCACACAGCGTTTGCCGCACGGTCCCATTAATTATCAATAGGATTACATTGGCGCAGCAATAGCTGAAAAAGGTACATGTATATGTACTTTTTTTCACGACACGCGATTCATGTTTTTTTCAGCCGTGATCGTGCTGTGGGAAACCACGTGATATGCCTGGTGCCTGAATAGCGAAAAAATGGCACCGCCAGCGCCATCAGCGGGGGTGTGTGATTCCCTGGCCACGCGGTTTTGTGCATGAACCAAGCTTAAATCACACTGCTATAGGCAAACTGCCCAGCATCAGATACACAGGCTCTCTGGGACCCACCTTCACCCTCTGCTGTGTTTTTTACTGAACTGCATCAGGCTCTATT